TTGACAATTGCAAAAGGAAAGAGAGGCCCTTGTTAAGGGAAATTGGGAACGGGGAATTTTGAATGTGAAAATAGGGTCAAATATAAAAGCAGCAGTAGGCAATTTTGGACTAAAATCAGCAACGATTTTGAGCGCATTTAATGTAGGAACCGTGTCCCATACCCCCGTACTGTTCGTGGTTGCCCTGTATTCCGAATTTACTAAATTGAATGAGATAGCCAGTGCAGAGGATTGCCCAGGAAATTTTCGCGCATTTCTTTTTTCCATAATGCATGTACAAAAGAACACAGCTGCCAAGATAAGACGCATGCTGCTTAATGGACCGAAACGTCCTTATCTAAATTGTTCTTGCCATATATATATATATATATATGCATATAAATATGAATTTACTGGGTTATGTCTACATATATATATTTGCATTAATGGTTTCAATTTCTTTTCCATATGCAAATTACGTGTCTGCATGCGTGTTTATCTACTTTTAGCTTCACACACACGTACTTACATGCACCCATCTGCACATACATAAGACATGCCCACATACACACATACATTCATGTCTCTTGAATAGTTAATTTAGTCTTGTTTTATTCATTAATTCGCCCAGCTGCCTCAGGCACTCATCAGAGGATGATTGATTGCCTTCAGGTTTCTTTTCCTGAGAATTTAAGATGGACAAAAGATCAAGAGAGCAGAGCCTGCGTTGCTGATTCTTGCTATAGGGTTTTTGAGTTGCAACACCAGAACTCTGGATCCAGGAAGCAAAGGCTAGATCTCGCTTCATCTCCCCTTCCCTCTTCATCCTCCTCCTTAATATCGAACGGACGAATCCCGTGCACTTGCAGCGTTCTTTTTGTTTTTGATTTCCCATCAGCTTAAAATGATTTCAGAGTAAATTTGCATTGACTGAAACATAAAAATATACGTATGGTTTATGTCATAATCACTGTCGTCACCATCATTATCATCATCATTATCATTGTCACGCCCTCGCAATCGTTATCATTGTCAGTGTCATCGCCATCATTTTCATCTGTATTGCTACCATGTCATTGTTTGCCTCCGAGCCTGTCTTGTACATATTGTCCATTAGGTAGACTATGCTGTTTTAGCCAGAGGACAGTGTATTTGTGTATTTGTACCTGGGATGGCCTTCGATTGCTATGAAGGCAAATGCCACCACGCCTATCCATCCATCCAACCGTTCAGTCAGCCTTCGGTCAGTGAATGCATTCATCTCTCGTATCCTTTGTTGACCACCGTCTGTCCGATGTATTTTATTGCTTTCTTGTTTCCAGCTGTGGTGAATTCAGCAAATTTATCGGTTGTTAAATTTTACAAGTCGCTATCCAACCCCCCTCAATTTGCTTCGTATTCACCTCACTTCTTCCTCCTCAACCCTTTCCTCTTTCTCTTTTCTAATGCAAATTTTGGAATTTGAATTCGTGGATCTTATCAGGTTGTCAATCTGGCTTCCTAACAACCAATTACATTTCCGCATCGTTAAACTTACCAGGCTTCCGCTTCCTTTTTCGTACCTCCTCCTCTCCTCCTTCCGGTACTTCGCCTTCTTCCTCGATCGCCTTTCAGTGCTTCGTCTTCATCTTCGATAGCTTTCTGGTGCTTCATACCATACCGCGGTCGTGATCCAGTGCTTTTCTTTCATCAAGCTACTTTGAATTATCTCAGCCTATCTCTTGCTTAGTACACTAGCATTCGGTTTTGAATTACAAAAATTGAAATTTAGTAATTTTTCAAAAATTCAAAATGAAACCTGAACCCGCAGTGAAATTAAGAGTCGGAGTGGATTTTGAGGAAGTGTTGTAAAGCCTGAGAAAAAGCAAAGCGAGTGTCCAGCAGCACTGAATGACTTCTTTGCTACCGGACTTTAATTTCATTTTGAAAGCAGTATCGCCTAGGATCAAAGGACCTAGCATGGATGTTTCCAGCATGCGGTGATAATAATGGAACAGTAATAATAATAGTAATAACTGTAATAGTAACAACTGTAATGGTGACAACTGTAATAGTAATAATTGTAATGATAATAATTGTAACAATAATAATTGTAATGGTAATAGCTGTAATAGTAATAATTGTGATAGTAATGATTGTGATGGTAATAACTGTAATAGTAATAATTGGTAATAGCTGCGATAGTAATAATTGCAGTAGTAGTAATTGTAATAGTAATAATTATAATAGTAATAATAATACCAATATTAATAATAGTGATGGTGATAATGATAACTGTAACAACAGTGGTTGTGGTACTAATAATACTGTCGGTAATAGTATTAATAATAATAGCAATAATAATAACAAAACTTATTTGGGGGTCTTTTCGCAGTCGACAGTGCAGAACTTAACATCTTCAGCACTTTCCATTTTCTGATGTGGGTTTAACTAAATGGTTGTTTGTACAGATCTTTAGTCAGTTTTCTGTCCTGCATTTGCTTTTGGGGTTTTTCTTGAATTTACTGCGTTTGATTACTTGGCTGCAAAAAAGCGCTTAAGCTCTAATCCAAAACAAGGGAGATTTATTTATCCCATGGGAAAAATGAATTTTTTCTTCATTTTTAGAAATCTGGAAAAGCAGTAACTCTTTGTTTTAATTTTGTTAATATACTGACATTCGTTCCCCTTTTTCTTTCCCTCCCTTAATTTGCCCTCCATTTTTTGTCCTCATTGAAAGCACTTCACTTTTTATGCATACGAAAAAACCAGAAAATTCATCCAGGTTCCCAAAACATCTTGAATGTTTGGATGCGAACACGCCATTCTTCACTGTTTCCCAAACATCCTTTATACCAGGCGCTTTTTTAATGGTTATATCTAGGCATGTTTTTGGGAAATTTTGTGTTCTGTAAGGTAAAACGGTGTGGGACGGAAATAATCAGTACTGTATTAGGAAATAAGCATTCTTGACATATAAGAGTTGATTTCTGAGTTTATTCCACCACAAATTCAATATGCAATTTATCATGATTGCGTGATTTTGCTGACCCCATTGAACTGGGAGTTGAGAGATGAAACACAGATGGTTGCCGATCAATCTTGTGAATTATGGTTCCATCATCTTCGATCCTAATATTTTAGGATGCGGGAAGGTTGGGAATAGTGTGCAAATACGGTGTAATCCGGTTTTGATAACTGAATTAATGAGTTCTTTTTTTTGACATATTTTATGATTCCTGGTCTCCAAAATGTCTTTTCTGAGTCACTTTTTTTGAAGCAACCGGGAAAAAACATTTGCAGTACCACTATATATTAGGGTTTTCCCAAGTGCATTATTTCAGATGCTGTTCCAGGAGGTTTAGGTATTATCCAGTATTTAATTAATATTAGATACTATATTACTTAGTGGGTTTAAAAATTATATTTTATTTCATTAATTTCTCTTTTTCGATTTAAAGCTATGACCCATTTTCTTATAAAATTTATCTCATTTTATTTATTTATTTTATCAACATTAAAACCGTTATGCTGACAACGTCCAGCTGTGGTGCTGAATAACACTACACATGATTTAATGAACTGAAACATTCCTGTTAAATTAATCTTTTAATATAATTTTATATATTTACATCATATTTAATATCTCTATTAATTAGTATTACAAGTAGTGGTCCAAATTCTGTCCAGAAGCTCAGTTTTTTCCGATTTTCTGCTGGATTTGCTATTGAAAGCAAATTACAGTTTAGTTTCACTGCTACACCTGATGACTTTAAATGTCGCAATTTTGGATTCTTGAACATTTGCGCATCAAATCATTTCTCTCACGTGGAAACACCATTATAAAATTGCCCTCAATTTTCAGCTTACGGCGTACAGCGAATCCGTTGCGGGATCAGATGTATCGGACGGAGAATTCGCTAGAAGTATGGATTCTGGAAGCCAAAGGTGTCCCGGTGAAGAGGAAATATTACTGCGAGATATGTCTCGATAAAACACTCTACGCACGCACATCGGTGAAACCTCGCGGTGATATTTGCTTCTGGGGAGAACATTTCTACTTTAGGTTCGTTTTCCTTTGTCTAGTATAACTTAACTGGTTAAATATCAAGGGTCTGACTCCGCCACTGAAACAGTCATTCCCTTTGCGATTCGTTCATTCGTTTCGGTGATAAATCTCATATTGCTGCCAACCGAGCATTCAGAATCGCCATCGGTTTGCTTCAAGAGGAGGAAGTCGTCAGAAATCTTGTCCTTGAGTGGTCATTCTGGCATATTTTAGCTCCTAAGCTACTTATCATCAAGAATTAGCCTGTGGAGGTGGTATTGGTAGCTTGTCGCCCCCATTTTTGTCTTAATATGATTATTCTATTTCATCACCGTGCAATTTGTGCGTTTTGCCAGAAAAGAGCAGCTACTTTTTTCATGTTCTCAAAAGGCGTATACTAAAATTTTGCTTTTTTTTCGAAGATGTAGCAGTATTTTAACACTTTCATATATTTTATTTTTTTTTAATTAGTTGTTATCATTGGTTGCTCACCTTATTGGCAACTTCATGGACGTTGAGCATTCGTGAAAAATTAGAGTTCATTAGGATAGCTTTCAAAGAGATGTCCTCCATACATTGAATATATCTATCATAGTTAAGCTTAGCATTTCGGATCATCCAAGTATTTTCACTAACACAGAATCTCTGCACCGATTGTGCAGCGGCCTTTTTATTATAGTTTTGTGTTAAAAAGTGTCCATTACTTCTCTAAAATTTTGCGAATTTTGCAATTCTGTGAAAAAATTCTCAAAATTATTTTAGAACTAATTTTGTCATCCTTCGGCAATAGTAATAGTAACAATAAGCATTTTTATGACAATAGCACACATGCGGTTCTTATTTGCTCAGAAAATAATTTTTTAACCGAAAGATTGCTTCCCTAGTGGGGAAAAATTAAACTATTGCTAAGCCGCTTGTATTTGAATTAGTACTTTTTCATCTGGCCACTTATTTTGACCAGTGCTGTTAGGCGGTGGTGAACTTGCTGCGATTCTGACGCATGCGACTTGATCAAAAAGTAAACCACTTTTTTTTAGAAGTGGTTTACTTTTTGATCAAGTCGCACGGATTCTGTATTGCGTTTCTTGACCTCTCTTCTCAATAAACACAAGCATTTTCAGTCCGATCCCGAAGCTTGAAAGTGTCTGCGTTAATTTATATCGTGAAGCGGACGCAAAAAAGAAGAAGGATCGTTCGACGTTGATCGGTTATGTTCAGATCAAAATTGATCAGCTCAATACGCGACATCCGGTGGAACGATGGCAAGCTCTTTGTTTTATTTCTTTTTTTTTTTGAAAAAAAAAAAATAGAGAATTATCTCTCTCATATGAGGCCACTTGTCAGATCATTTTGAGACTTCATGAATACTCTTGAGGAAAAAAAACACATCCAGTTTTTAGCTGTCAGCACTTCTTCAGTTTCATTTTTTTGTAGTTTTATGATTGTAATTTTTAAAATTTATCGTAATTCATATCACACCGCTCCATGATACAGATGCTGTTCTTCTCTCCCTATTCAGGTCAGCTTTTCTGATTTACAATTTTGTTTAATTTAACA